CGGGATGCGAACCACTCCTCTCGGGTGGGGGGGGGGGGAATTAGAGGGAATATTGATGGTGATCCCATAGAGTTTTCAAGGCAAGAGACACCCGGAGATGGTTTGCCATTGCCTGGCTCGGCATAGAGACCCTGGACTTCCTTGGTGGTCTCCCATCCAAGTACTAACCCTGCTTAGCTTCTGAGATCTGATGAGCCCAAGCTAGCTCCAGGTTAGGGCAACAAACCCCCAATTGTCCCACTGAACTCTCATGTTAGATATGTGAAGGTTGTGTCCCAGGAAATAAATACCATAGAAGTGCTGTACAAATGACCCCTGATCCCAACATGGCTCCTGACAGTGCAGATCCAAAAAGCCCATTTGCTTCTTTGACAAAGCAATGAGATTGCACTGGTGTTCTACCCCAATGAAACAAGCAGAAGAACCCAGGAAGCATCACCTCTGTGTCTCTGAGGAGCACCCATTCAAAAACATTGGCCTCCAATCCTAGCAGGATATGGGGCTTGCAACCTCCCACCATTTTGTGGTCAGACTCAGCTCTCCGGTGGCAACCATTTTGTGATTATCCCCCCCCCATACACACACACACACACACACACAGAGTACTGGCACCTACCACCCTCTGCAAAATTGCAAAAGCGGCCACAGATTCAACAGGAATGAGCACCCCTGCCCTAGAGCTGTTACTTGATAATGCAGCAGTAAAAGTGAGGTTACCCGCTCAGTGCTGATATTTTATTTTTATACCTCTACGAGGTTTAGAGCTGAAGGGAAAATATACAAAGGTATCAGGGCCTACGGGGCACTGTAGGAATCCATACTAGAGTCAGTAGTGACCCTGAAGATGTTCTTTGTATTATAAGCAATCATCCCTAATAGGTAATCTTTATCTGTTACATTAAATTGGAATTGCATGCAGAGAGCAGGGACTTTAATAAGGAAGGTAGAAGTTAATTGTTCCCAGTCTTAGATCCAAGAAATGCTTTATTATAACCATAGTAACTTTACATGTGAAGATCATTTGGGGCTGGCATCTTCCCTTCCAGAAACCGTGCTCAACAATTAAGAGGCTAGGAACCAGAGAGATTGCAACCGGCTGCTTTATGGCTTTATTACACATGCCGCAGTTCTTGCAAGGCAACATTCCACTGTAAGAGAAGCTGTCTGCAGCATTAAGAGACTTGGGCGAGGTTACACAGTGCCAAAGTTATTCTCTAGCCCACATTCCACATCTTTGTTTGCTTTCCAAACAAGTGTCTGATTCCAAAGGGATGCATGCATTTAACATCTACTGATAGATATATTCTCTGTTAAAGATTATGAATTCCAATAAGGTTGTCCTTAATCATGGCCCTGAACTCTAAACACACAACTTTCTGGATGGAGAGTGAAGAAGAAATTCCCAAGGTCATCAAATTGTATGGACGGATCAGAAGGGGTGAAGTGAGTGGTCCTGTGAAACCCTTCCCTCTATTAAGGCAGGAGTTGGAGTCTAGTTCTTATGCAGGAGAATGCAGTGGGAGGATGCTGGGGTGGCAGACTGAACTGTATTGTAGGCAAAGGATTCTCCATACATTTAAAAAAACAACAACTAGCAGAGCAGTGATAATAGTTCTACCCTTTCTTTTCCTATTTACAGAGAGTGGGGTTTTTTAAAAAAAAATGGGGCATATCCAGGACTGGCATCAGCATACCCTGAGGGGGGGCAGCTGCCAGGTCCCAGGGGTTCTGGCATGACCCATTGCTGTCAATGCGCATGCCCCCCCCCCCAGTCGCTCATTTGCTAGCACTCCCCCAGGCTCCCAGCTACATGCACTGCCGACCAATGCGCCCTCTAAGGTGTGGAGCTTTGTGAGCAAAACTTCTGCTTTGTGAGCTACTGGCATTAAAGTTGTGAGCGAGCGATTTGGCTCTGCTGCATAAATTAGTTTGCTCTGGAGCCATCCTCCCTGAGCTAAGATGAAAATGTGTGAGCTGGAGGCTAAAAAACTGTGAGCTCGCTCACACCAACTCAGCTTAGAGGGAATACTGCTGCCGACTGCAGCTGGGAAAAAGGGCTTCAGGCCGTGGTGAGCCTGGGCAGTGGGAGAGCTCACAAAAGGGCAGGGGAAGGGCATACAGGTGGGTGGGAAGGGGGAGAAGGGAATGAGGACATATGTAGGATGCCTGGTGGTAGGTAGAAGAGGGGAGCAGGGACCTGGGAAGTCTCTGCCCAGGGCTCCTCAAAACCTAGAACTAGCCCCAGGGCAGATCCCAAAATGACATCCTCTACTTGCAGTCTGAAAAGAAGCAGTTCTAATCACCTGATTGTCCTACATGTGTGAATCCAACTTCATGCACACATGTGGTGCAGAATAAAGTGGTAACATCCCAAGGTGAAACAGTAGACAATCCCATTTCAGATTGCAGGTAAAGGTTTCCCTTGTTCGAAAGTCAGTCGAATCTGACTCTAGGGTTGCGGTGCTCATCTCCGTTTCCAAGCCGAAGAGCCAGCGCTGTCCGAAGACGTTATCGTGGTCATGTGGTCATGACTAGACGTCGAGGCACATGGAATGCTGTTACTTTCCCACTGAAGTGGTACTTATTTATCTACTTGCAATTTCTTGCTTTCGAACTGCTAGGTTGGCGGGAGCTCACTCCGTCATGCAGCACTCAGGTCTCGAACTGCTGAACTACCGATGATAAGCTAGTTTTTCTACTTGCAGGGGAACACTAAAAATGTTACCTTCCACTTGCATGTAACATTCCAGCCTTAGTTGCTCCATTCTACCACCACATTCTGCTGCAGGCGTGAACCCTCTATACACAGATGGCAGGGAATGCTACCAATTCAGACCACTACTGAAGGCTGCCAGTTTAATGCTCCCCATGTTAAGAAGAGACGAAACTCTGCAATTAAAAATCTAGCACATCAGGGATAAAGGTTCAAGCCTTGTCTGCTGCTTGCTGTGCTAGCTTTCTACTTTTAGGGTTTCATCCTGCACCTGCCACCTGAAGTCCTATAGTCCTGTACACCTCTTCATCTCACTGCATATGACCACCACACTATAGGCATGATGCTGCAAACAGGGGATGCCCAATGACGTGGGAGCAGCATTTGTGGGGCTGAAAGGGTGGGTGGAGGAAAGGTGCTTAAGGCTTTCCCTGCTGTGACTCTTTTTCCAGGCTGTTTTTCTCCCAGAGGGGCTCCTTTCTAGTCTAAGCATGGCTGGAAAAGGGGGGAAGGGAAAATTAACAGGTGGGGGGGGTGTCTGTGGGGGAGTCATGCAGTGGGCATTGGGAGGATTAAGTACTTTCCTTTTACCTCCTGCAAAATGGACACTTCTGAACTTCCATTCAGGCAGGAGGGAAATTCTATCGCGCCTTTGCCATGCCACGCCTCTTTCTGGCCGTAGTCCCTGCCCGCCACCAACCCCTCTCTCCTCCTTCTTTCGTTGTTCAGGCCTAACTAACTGTCCCACCAAACCAGAAATCAGAATTGTTTTTCTATCTGCTCCGGACCACTTGGGGAGTTTCCCGATCGCAGGGAGCCGTGTTGATGGCCGTGACGCCTCCGCCGGGGTGACACGTTTGTGTGTTGCCGAAGCGCCTGCAAGAAACAGCAGGAAAACACGTGGATTTGGGAGTTCCAGATCACCACCTGGACTCACTTTCAACCTAGAAACATAATTTAGCTTTTATTTCCAGATTTTTGCACATGTGCAACGCACTGCGCACTTTACCATTCCTTTGTGCCTCTCTCCCTCCTCGTTGCTGAGGTGCATGTATGCATGCATTGATAAAAACTTTGCCAAAAAGCAGTCTTGAAGTGATTCATATGTACAGTTGTATTACAGTCCTCTCTCAGTGGTATCTAATCAAGGTGCAGGAACACAGATGCATGTCAATGGAGCCCCAACCCCAACACACAAAAATCTTGATGTGTTATCTTGCATATGATCATATCAAGATTGATTTTTGGTAGTGTTTTACCAACAAGTAAGTATGATCGTGTAAAAAGGGAGGGGGAGACACGAAGCAAATTGAGAGAAAGAACTAAGTGCTCCAGCAAATCGCAGATTTGATTGATTTGATTTATATCCCGCACTCCCTGCCGAGGTGGACTCAGGGCAGCTTAGAAGCAATTCAAAAATACAGTTAGATACAGTAAAATACAATAAAACCTAGTATAAACTTATAACTTACATTAAGATAACAATCAATTAAAAACAAATACATAAAAACGCTGGAACACACCCAAGCAACAAGCGGAGCAGTTCTTATAAATACAGTTTAGGTGACTGTTAGATGTTCCATATATCGCACTCGTACAGTTCTTGTTTATTATGCGGTGAGCACAGGTCAGGATTTCGATGGTAGGACCCAGGTTACAGGCTAGAAAGCCAGATGATGTAGTTCTTTCCAAGCAGCCTAACCTAAAACACTGAATCACGTGTGAACAGACTGCTCAATCGCTTTCCAGAATTAGAATTACCCTCTTGGAGGAGGAACCTCTTGGGATTTGCATGAGTGGCTGATCGGAGCTTGCCATCTTCTAATCAGCAAAGACTCATGCAGAGACGGGGGTGGGGGGTGGGGGGTGGGATAGGCTCTTCTTGGGATGGATTATCCTTAACTCTCTAAAAAAAAGTAAACCTCCACTTTTGCTCCAGAAGGAGTAAAATGGATTGCTGCTCTCAGAACTTTGGAAATTTCAGTAGACATTCATCGAGGAAGTTAAGAAGGAACTGAAGCCTCAAAACACCAATCTACCTCCACTTGTTCATCTCCACGTCAAATGCCTCTACTGTGGTCACGTGGACGGTGCCATCATATCCCCCAATGGCTAGGAGGTAGCCATTCGCAGCAGCAAGGCTCACCTGCATAAAGGAAGAAATGCCGTTATTTTCAGGTTTTCAGCAAAGAATTAAGGCCGAGGTCAACACTCCATGGAAAACCCTGTTTACGCAAATGTTAATGAGGAATCCAATTACCAGGTTCATCGACAGTATTGGCCATATATGGAGATATGCCAGGGGTCATTTTGTAGGAAAAGAGGTGCAGGAGCTCATTAGCATAACTTATTTGCATATGCCACACCCCCTGACATCACCGGAAGTGTGTCAGAAGGCTCCACTGGACTTTTGGGATATAGAATGCCCCTCTTTCAGAAAAGCAAGCTAAAAGGGAGGTTTCTACCCATTTGTATTGAACAGGAGCACACAGCTTTCCTTGTAGAATGAGATGAACCCACCAAGGCCATCACCGCACCAAAGGCAACATTCAGTTGATATTTGTGTCTGCACATCTTTTAAACTTGCGTCTTCCACCATGCTGATAGGACCTGAACTTATTTTTGGAAGCCAATTTGAAACAGCTATATGTTTACTCCCCCCCCCCTTCTCAATCACAGCTGGAAAGATGAAGAGGGCCTTGACTTTCAGCAAGCAGCGGAAGCTTTGGTTACCGTAACAGTTAAATGGTTTCCTGCTTTTCAGTCCACTTCCCTTTGAAATCCTGGAAAGTGGGCACTACTGCCTCTATATTGACACAGAGACTCAAAAAAATTATGGTGGAAATTATAAATATAGATCAAGCGGGATTTCTTCCCAAAAGACAAATGAAAAATAATTTGAGAATTCTGATGAATGTTTTAGAATATTATGAAGTTCATTGTGAAAAACAGTTGGCTGTAATATTTTTGGACGCAGAGAAAGCGTTTGATAATGTTAATTGGACTTTTATGACAGAAGTACTTCAGATGCTAGAGATGGGAGAAAACTTTACCAATATGATACATTCAATATACAAAGAGCAAAAGGCAAAAGTGATTGTAAATGGAGAACTATCGAGTTATATTGAAATACAGAAAGGCACAAGGCAAGGATGCCCATTATCTCGAAAGTGGGCACTACTGATATCCCCTAATGTGCAAAACATGAGGACTGGGCCCTGCTAAAGTAATGGACAGTTCTTCAGAAAAGGGCCACCTGCCGGTTTTACGAACCATCACTCTCCTTGAGTTCCCATAACACAGCTGTGGTCCGATACCTTACTCCTCTTGGACTTCATTGGCATTACAGCAGACCATTCGTTGGCAACAGGATCAAACCGCTCAACACTGCGCAGTTCGGTGAGGTCATCCCGCCCGCCAACAGCATAGATCTTCCCTTGGAAGGTTGCGCATCCGAGGTACTCTCTACAGGTCCTCATGGGAGAGCAAGGGGTCCACCTGTCTTCTGCCGGATTGTAACGCTCCACTATGACAAAACACAAAGTGCCCCCTTTCTCAGTCGCTGGTTCTATCATACACGGACAGGTGTCAATGGGAACTGAAAACAGCAGTTCAGGAATTCAGGGGGCTTTAGGATTAGCCAGCCTGTGTGCTTGCTCCGGCACTGCTAGAGTGCCTCATCAATCTTTGTATTTGTAAATACATGGATTATTACTAGGTTGCATATATGTCGCGATGCTCCCTCTAAGCTGTGGAGTCTCACAAGAGCAGAAATTCTACTTTGTGAGCACCTGGCATTAAAGTTTTGAGCGAGCAATTTGGCCGCTGCATAAATTAGTTGGAGCCATCTGGAGCCATCCTTCCTGAGCTAAGACAAAAAGGTGTGAGCTGGAGGCTAAAAAACTGTGAGCTGGCTCACACTAACTCAGCTTAGAGGGGACACTGGTCACTAGTACATTCTCCCCTCCCCCAAGACGAACCTCAGCAAGGCCATCCTGGGCTTGCCATTACAAGGTTGGTGGTTAGGGCATGGGCTTACTGTGGGTGCTAGGTTTGATCTGGGCAAGCTTTATGGGAGTGCAGAGCAAGAGAAGGGATCTATACCTTCAGGGGAGGAGCTATGCTTCAATGATAAAAGATACTGTGGGTATGCTTCCCACTTAACTTCCTGGGTGGGAATAACCTGCCCCCAGCCTCAATTTCCTGCCCCTGAGGAACTGAGGAAGGGGGAAAATATCCACTACATAATGATGCTATAGGAATTTCCCCTACGCTGTAGGAGTTTTTCCTACTCCCTATGGTAAAGGTCACAGAGACTAGGGGGAGGCAGCCTAGAGCATCACCCAGAAGTGACATCACATCCTCCCCAAACTCCACCCTCCCTAGGCACTGCCTCCCATATCTCCCTGCATTTGCCAAGGCAGTGATGGTAACACTAGTTGTGGAATTAAATAGGCTTTAACCTGATCGGGCAAGGCTATTTTGGGGGGAAGTGGAATGCAAGACAGCACGTCACTCTATTTATTAATTTAGCACTGAAAATTCAAGAGCAAAATTCCTTTTTTTCCAAACTTCCTCTGACGAAATCAGATCTGCCACCAGCCTTTCCCATTACCTGAATATAATGGGGAACATCCATCGGACCCCCCAACGGCATACAGGTAACCATCGAGCACAGCCAAGCCTAGGCCCCTCCGGCGGCGATTCATGGATGCCACCCTGCACCACCTGTTTAGCTCAGGGTCGTACCTAAAAAGCACATGCACCATGATGAGAATGCATGAACATGCTTAGACGGCAGGATCAGGGAAGCAAAGGTGGTGGTGAGGGTCAATGCAACTCTAAACTAGACCCCTTCTACTCCCCCCAAACCCCGCCCCAGATCTCAAGCAGTCAACAGTCAGTGGCAGTTACTCATTGATGAAAGAAAAGAGCTACAACCAGGCTCAACGTGACTTTCTAGAGTGGGAGCATCCACAGTCCACCCTGCAGACGACCACCGGCCTGTGGACCCATTTCACCCAGCACTTGAAGAAGTGCAGCTGATCTTGCTTCAGGGCCGTGTGTCTGTGGTGCTACCAGACCAGCCTCTTGGGCAGCTCTCACCTTGCCTCTTAAGCAGGGCTTTGTAAAACAGGGCAGAGCCCGCCCTTGCCCAGCCCAAGAGATTCCTTCAAGGAAGTCCTTGTACCATAGAGGTTTGATTCTCCCGTTCTAGTCTCCTCTGAAAATCAGAAAGACTTTGAGGAGCAAAGGGGCAGAGAAGATCGTTGTTATGGGATGCCAGCCTCCAGGTGGGACCTGGGGATCCCCCAGAATCACAGCTTATCTCCAGACTACAGAGATCAGCTCCCCTGGAGAAAATGGCTGCTCTGGAGGGTGAACTGTATGGCATTGTACCCCACTGAGATTTGTGTCTTCCCCAGGCTCCACCCCCAAATCTCCAGGAGTTTCCCAACCTGGACTTACCAAATCAATGTTTCAGCAGCAGGTGCCTGCACAGTATTGGTTTTCTTCTCTTTCACTCCTCTTACTCAGTATAATTTTTAAATTACTCCTCCCTCCTTCCTGCATCTGAGCTTCCTCGGTGTGGTTGGCTCCACCTCCCACAGCAGCCATTTTGTACAGTCCAGTTTTATCATTACAATCCAAGATCAGACAGTAAGCCATGTTGTAGCTGTGCCCACCACCCTGTGTTAGAATTCCAAATGTAACCACAGACTCAGAAAGGTGGGGATTAAGAACTCAGGGGGTGCGTTCAGACGCGCCGTTTTAGCCAGCATAAACTGTACCGGTTGGAACCGGTGCAGTTTATGCCGGCTGAAACGCGATCACACTCACCTCCTGTCTGCTGATCCCATCACTGTATGCCTGTCCACACACAGCGGGCATCGGCGGTTTTTTTTGGGGGGGGGGGGGTTAAAACTCAGTTTCAGCATGCGCATAGGCAGCCATCCATAGAATGGCTATCTTCATGCATGCGCAAAAAACCCTGTCTTACATTTAAACTTTAAAGGTAAGGACTTACCTTTAAAGTTTAAAGAGCAAAGTAGCCTCCCTGAGGTCCCGGACGCCTCTGAAACGCTAAACTAAGGCCCTTTTCTTTTCTTTTTAAACAAACGCCAGGGCGAAGCTTCGCCCAAACGCATATCAACGACCTTTAAAAAAAAATGGTCGGCGAAAATCGGAAGCCTCAGGCTTCCGAACGGAAGTGGCTCTGCAACTGTGGAGAGCGATCAGACGGGGGTTAAGCGATTACAACCGTTGTACTCAGGATACCCAGGATACCACCACTTGGGGACCTAGTGGCAGAGTACAACGATTTAAAGGGCTTTGCAACGGTTAGGGAAAAAGGCAGATGTTCTACGTGTGAACGCCGGAAAGTACACCGATTGCAACCGGCACCTATACCGTTGCAAACGCCGTGTCTGAACGCACCCAGGGTGTCAGGAAACATAAGATGCTGTGAAAAGACAAAGTCAGAGGTTTGATTTGCACGACAGAAATGGATTTTTCGGGTCGAAAGAGCAAGGATTGAAAATTTGAAATTTCTCCTCCCCCCACAGTCCGGCCAGGTTGGCCTGTCCTGGATGGAAGCCTACAGCGAAAACATCTTGCACTTTCTGCAGCTGTGGAGGGTGGAAGTATCCCTTAACGTGCCGCAGTTTTAAGCTGGGCAGCAAAATGAATGGGGAAGACTTATTCCTGTCGACGCTCCGCTCATCTTGTACCTCAGTCAGTAGCCTTGTCTTCAGCAACTCTCGTCTGTTTGCAAGCCTTTTCAGGGCTCCGTAACGACAACTCCAGCCTTTCCCCCCCTCCCTCTTTGATTTATATCATCCTATCCAGAGCTTGCCCTTCTGCCTTCCAATTTCCTTTCAGTTATATCAGAGACTGGTACCCCGCCGCCCATTTCTTAGAATGTGCCCTTACGCTTGATTGCCTCTTCTTCACGCTCTCGTCAATCCCCATCTCTCTCCAACATTCATGCATACCTTTTCTTCTCTCACAATTTCTCGGCAAGTCCTTCACCAAGCACTGCATTTCAAGCTCACCTCTGGCTTTCTATCTTTCATTCTGAACCTATGAAGCCTTGCGCAGTTCACATCCGTACAGAGCTGCTGTACATGTGTGTTCTGTAAGCATCTCTTACAGAAAGTAAACATTCCTTTTGTAAGCAAAAAGAACAAAGTCGGGCTGCCATCAAAACGGTGCCGAACAGCAGACGCCATCTCGGAAGAGGCATTCCCTGTTGCGACAGAGAAGAGCGGAATGCCTCTTCTCTGCTGTGAGAAGAAGCTTTCCGTCCCATGTATGAGAGATGAGAGGTTGTCCACAATGCTACTGACAGGTGTAAGTGTGAGAGAATGGAACGTCTCTGTGCAGATGGGTATTGGAAAAGCCAGGGCTATTTTTGGGCAGGAACGCAAAGGAACGGAGTTCCGGCTGGCTTCCAAGTTGGCCACGCCTAGCAGGAACTCATTAGCATAATAGGCCACACCCAACAGCAGAAACTCATTAGTATTGGCTACATTAAGGGTGTGTGGCCTAACATGCAAAGGAGTTCCTGCTACAATAAAGCCCTGGGTTTTGACAACAAACAAGGTAAGCAGAATAAGAAGCAAAAGGTGGGTGTGGCTGGATGAGCACACTTCTGGTAACATGGGGGTGCGGCCTAATGTGCTAATGAGCTGTGCTGTCAGGGGTGTGGCCTAATATGCTAATGAGGTTCTGCTGTTGGGTGTGGCCTATTATGCTAATGAGTTCCTGCTGGGCTTTATCTACAAAAAGAGCCCTGGGAAAAGCCACTCTGATGAGAAGAAGAGAACAAGGATGTCTAAGATATCCCCTGCCAGCTTCAGGTGGTGTAAAAGCACTTTCCCAAAATGCTGCCCAGTCAGGGGCCTCTGTTTAGAAATTGATCAAAAGAGATTTGATTGATTAAGTAAACGTTGGAGCCTTAGCCACATCCAGGACTGTGGGCTGCCATCGGTCATTTTTTAAAAAATTAAAAATCTTTATTGAACTTTTATTTAAAAACCCCTTAAAAACTGCTCCTGGGAGCTTGCAAAACATTCAAATGAGCAGGGGTAAAAGCTGAAATGATAAAAGCAGCAGAATGAAATTGCTATACCAAGGCAGAAGTAAAAGCATCAGAGCAATAGAACTGAAAACAATAGAGACAGAAACAGCAAATACAAGCTTAAGACAGATAACCAATTGTCTGGGCAGGCAGAAAGGTTTCCCCCCCCTGGTGTGCAAAGCTTTAACAAGCTAAGTGCCAGGCGAGCCATTCTAGGAAGGGCGTTCTTCAGCTGAGGAGCCACCACTGAAGGTGTCCTGTCAAGTGCACGAAAAACCTCTGCTAAACAATGCCACAGGTTGGCCCCTTTGTTCTGTAGCCCCCCCCCCCCCCCCCAACCCACCACCACAGAGTTATCCATGGGATGCAGCCTACCTCTCCACGGTGCTAAGACACAACAGCCCATCATAGCCGCCCACACAGTACAGGTAGCCTCCCAGCTCAGCAACAGCCACATCCCGCTTGGCTTCACTGATCGGGGCCACATCCCGCTTCCACGAGTTGGTTTCAGGCTCGTACCTTCAGCATGGGGGGGGGGGTAGAGAAAGGAAAATGCAAACGTCTGTCATTAGAAGCTGCTGATGCGGGCAAGCACCTCTCACACGCCATGTAAGGAGGAAAGATTGCTGCGGAGTAAAGAATGGCTGTAAGGAAGCTGACCTCGAAACCCAAAATAAGACCCCAGCCAACCTCTTGGCTTGCCTCTCTGGGTGGTGGGACTAGTCTTTCAGCAAAACGATCCCTCTTGGAAGGGCGACAGGCTTGCCGAGAAGCAACAGCAGAGCTGGAAATACGACATGACACAATTCTGACACATGCCCGCTCTCTCAATTATACATATATTTAGACACAGAATTTCAGCCCTGAAATGAAACACTTGTGGAATGCGCCGGGGACTTTGAGCCATCTTTTAGCAAGCGATATAGCAGTAATTGGGTTGTCAAAGCTATCGGTCAGAAGTAGCGGCAATAACTTGTTTGCTAAAGGAACCCAGGGGAGGCCGAGGGCCTCGAACAAAGAGCAGTTGGAACCCAATCGATACAGACAGTGCAGCAAAACACTCTTCTGATTGGGGGCAGCCAGAGAGCCATTTCTATGAGGATCCTTCGCAATGGGGTCAAAAACGGGAGTGTGCCTCAGCGTTAGACGGAATAGGGAGGCAAATTAGGTTTCTTCTCTGGAGCAGGCAAGTTGTGGCACAGTGGCAGAGTGCCTGCTTGGCACAGAATCATAAAATCACAGAGTCGAAAGGGGCCATACAAGCCATCTAGTCTAACACCCCCACCCCTGCTCAATGCAGGATAATCCTAGAGCATCCCTGACAAGGGTTTGTCCAACCGCTGCTTAAAGACTGCCAGTGAGGGGGAGCTCACCACCTCCCTAAGCAGCTGATTCCACTGTTGCACAACTCTTGCTGTAAAAACGTTTTGCCTAATATCCAGCCGGTGCCTTCCCGAAAGACACAGGTTACCAAAAGACACAGGATGATTCCCTGGGGCTTCCAGCAAGAAAGGTCTTGGGTAGTGGGAAAGCCCGTCCCTTACCTAAGACCCTGAGGAGCTGTTGCCAGTCTGTGAAAGTGGACAAAGACTGACCAGCGACCCAACACAACAAGCCAATTTTATGAAACCATATTCTGCTGCTAGTCTGACTGATGGACACAAGGCCAGGTCTGACTTATGCTGGACATATTCCCCTGCTTCAGCCGATTCCAATGTGTGCACTAGGGATGGACAAAAAAAAAGAAAAAAAGATTCGGCCCATTTGGATTCAGCCAAATCGGGCCGAATATGATTCGGTCAGCCGAATGACCCCCGAATGCCACTTTCAGCAATGCAAGACGATTGGGGTGGCATTCAGCCAGCCAAATCACATTTGGCTCAATTATAGGTATAATAATTCCCCCCCTTGAGGGGGTTTCCTATCACTGAATTTGCCTTCCCTTCAATGAAAGAAACATGCTGCCTCTGCGATGTGACTCAAGTTTTAAATTTTAACACACACACCCAGTTGCGCCGGTGAAGGGGGCCCGCTGCCCCCCAAACTAGCCCTCCCTGCCTTCCCGGGCCCACCCGCCGAAGCTGGCAAGCCTTATTGGAGGGCAAGGAGCATAGCCTTCAAATGACAAAATGCTCTTACAAACCTCCAACATGCAACTGAATACAAGGGGAATAAACCTGTTCAACCTTTATGCAGCCAGCTGGGTGACCTTGGGTCAGTCACAGTTCTCTCAGAGCTGTTCTCTCAAGAGCTCTCTCAGCCCCACCTACCTCACAGAGTGTTCGATGGGAGGAGAGGAGGGGAAAGTGATGGTAAGCAACTCTGAGTGAAGGGCAGGGAAAAAAGTCAATTCCTCTTCTTCTGCCTCTGCATCCCAAGCCCTGGTAATACTTTGGAAGTCTCCCTTTCCAATTACTTGCCAGGGTCAGCCCTGCTTAGCTTCCAAGGTCAGACAAGATTGTGCTTGCCTGATGCTGATCTGTCTATTGATCTGTCAAAGGCAACAATGTCTATCAACTCTGGCCAGCAGCAGCTCTCCAGGGTCTCAGGCAGAGGTCTTTCATCACCTACTCCTTTCACCTGGAGATGCTGGGGATTAAACCTGGGATCTTCTGTAGCAAAGCAGATGCACTGCCACTGAACCACAGCCCCTCCCCCTACATAATTATTGTGAGCATTTTCATCCCATCTGTTGTGGCAGCAGCCCCACAGCCTCGGACTCCGCGCTGAGCCTGGCAGTGCAACCCAGGGTGAGCCCAGGGGCTGCGCCAGGCCTCGCAGCAGCTGCCAAACATCTCAGGGCTCCACACTGGACCTGGTGGCAGCTGCCAGAGATCCCGGGGGCCACACTGGGCTCAGCAGGGGGGGGAGATGGGATCCCCCCCCCGGGAGACTCGACGGCCCCCACTTGTAACTAAGGGCTCCTTAGTTCTTTGCCCTATCTCATGACTCAGAGGTAGAATTAAGCAAAATTTGAATATGCTGAATACGGCCGCGGTGGCTCAGAGGTTAAGACGCTGAGCTGCAGACTGGAAGGTTACTAGCTTGGCAGTTCGAGACCCGGGTGCTGCATGACGGAGTGAGCTCCCCTCTCTGGCCCCAGCTCCTGCCAACCTAGCAGTTTGAAAGCAAGAAATTGCAAGTAGATAAATAGGTACCACTTTAGTGGGAAGGTAACAGTGTTCCGTGCGCCTCGGCGTCTAGCCATTCCTGCCACATGATGACCATGGAAACATCTTCAGACAGTGCTGGCTATTCGGCTTGGAAATGGAGATGAGCACCGCCCCCTAGAGTTGGATTTGACTGGCTTTGAGCAAGGGAACCCTTTACCTTAGAATATGCAGATGACAAAATATGCATAAAGCAGTCTTGGTTCTGCAGCGGAAGATTTAGCAGACACCCCCACTAGTGGGGACAGAAATGTTCAGTGGGGGGCATAACTTGGCCTCATGTCTTTAGTGAGACTCTGGATTCACACGGATGGTGTTGATACTGATATTTTGGGTCTTCACTGCCTGCTGCCAGCAGCTCAGCTTTCTCCCCCAGGGTATTACCTGGTTACCCACACGGCGGCTTGCGGTATGCCACTAACCAAGTGCGAAGCCAATTTTCGGTGTTGTCAGGAGATCGTTTGCCGCAGCAAGCCTCAGGGGAAGAAAAAGGAGCGCCCTTCAGGAGCTGACATATTTTAAGGAACATAGTGAGAAGGTCTCATCCCATCCCTATTACTGGTGCGAGCACAAAGATGTTCCGGGAAGGAGAATGGAAGGACTCCAATTAGGGGTGACCCAAGATCTTGTCTTTCTGAATTTTTGCTGATTCTTTCCTGTCAAACCATTTCAGCTCTCTGCTTTCTGATGTGGTCAACAACAGTGGCAGGCAGAGAAGAGCCCTTGGCGGTCTCTAATAGTTGGAGGCCAGTGACCCTTGCTGGGAAAATCAGGGTGTTACAAGCATGTCTCTAACTTTAACTGTGAAATTAAAGAGGTTGTGTAGAGCCGTTCCTCTACTATCATCTAGGGACGCCCGCCTCCAGGTGGGACCTGGGGATCCCCGGAATTACAGCTCATCTCCAGACTTGAGAGATCATTTCCCTTGGAGGAAATGGATGCTTCGGAGGGTGGACTCTATGGCATTGTGCCCCACTTGAGGTCCCTCCAAATCTCCAGGAGTTTCCTAACCTGGAGCTGGCAACCCTCCCCCCTCCCCAGTGGCCAGGGGAAACCTGGCAACCCTAATGACCACCACTCAATCCAGTCCCCAAAAGAAGATGGTCTCTTCACTTGCCTCCTGATGCTAAAAGGGATGGAGCGAAAGGTACCTCCTGAGGAAGGGACTTCCAACATATCTCGGTGCCACTACAGACAAGGCCCCGTCTCATATAACTCCCCACCAGACTTCTAATGATTGTGGAGCCCTCCCCATAAGGAGCAGAATTTGAGGGTCACCCGATGAAACCGATAGTCTATAAATTCAGGGCAAAGGGAAGCACTTCACCCAAAGCAGCATTAACCTGAGGGATTCATTGCCATTAGATTTTATGGCTTTAAAGAGGATCTGACAAATCCATGGAGGAGAGATCCATCGACGGATGTGAGGAGCCCTGGTGGATAAATGAAACCTCTGTGTCCAGAGGCAGCCTAGCCAAAACCAGCTGCTGATGAACGAACAGAGAAGAACTCTCCCTGAGGGCTCCCCACGGGCATTCGTGCCCGGAGCCAATCCCCAGTCCCGACTCAGCCCAGCCCCAGCTGCCAGAGCTGTGGACAGCCATGGCCCAGACTCCCCCATGCGAGGAAAGCCGGGGGAGAGAGGTGGCTGGGAGCCAGGCACATCACTCTGAAACAGCGGAGGATAAGGCGGGAAGTAGGGTTGGGAAATAACAAATTTGGAGGGTGGAGCCTAAGGAGAGCGGGATTTGGGGAGGGGAGGGACCTCAGCAGGGTATAATACCTCGGGGTTGCTGAGTCCTTACCTGGAGCTGGCAGGGGGTGGGAGGGGGCACTCCGCGAGTGGATGGGCAGGGCGACCTTGCCACATGTGACATCATCATGCCAGGGATGTCACACAGTGATGCTCTGGTATTTTGGTTGCCATAGAGTTTTGACCAAACTACCAGAGCATCAGTGCGCGACATCCCCAGCCATGATGGCTTCACCTCTGTGATGGGGCCAGCGAATCCTATAAAAGGGAAGACTAATATGGATCTTAGTGGGTATGCTGTGATTTAGTTAACTGTTCATAATCTTGGTTTTATGGATTTATAATATTTTAGACTGTATTTTATTTTTATTTTATTTTTATAATTCTCTATGTTTTATTGTGTGCTTCTCTGCTCGTGTTTTGTAATGGCCTATGGCTAAATACAATAAAACCTTTCTCACTTGTTCCTGACCTGTACATCTCCATTTGAAAGTATCCAAAGAGCCTGTACGCATACAGAAAAAGCATGGTTTGCTGTTATGCTGAAGGAGGTGTGTACAGGAATCATCCATCGACCTTTATTGGCACAACTGGGAAGGCAGGCACCACAGGTGGCTAGAGAGGAAGCAACAGACTGAGCTCAGGCCATGGAGGGAGACGGAGGGTGGAGAGCCAGCCGGGGGAAGAAGGAGGCCCTGGGTGCTCTAACCCCCTCTCTCCTTCCCAATTCTAAGGCCAGTAGGCCTGTTGCCCGTTTTGGCGGTGGGACAGCGGATGGCAGGGAAACTGTCTTGGGAGTGGGGGAAGCCTCACAATTAGATAGGGGTCATGACGTTCCTCTAGATGAAGCCTTGATCCAACCTAACAAGGCGGGGGGAGGTCTTCCTATTCCTTTTTAGTATTTTTATCTATCCCACACTTTCGTGACGTCTGCTTCCACCAAGGTATCCATGGGAGCATGGGGATTTCCCCCTCTTCCTTCCACAGCCACCTACGAAATAGGCTGCGCTGGCCCAAGGTTACCCAGTGACATTGGTGCCCAAGCAGGGACCGGAAGATCCCATGTTGTCCCCCTAGCCCAAGTGCCAACAACCCTCTTTACTACACCACCCCGAGACACTGAAAAGGAAGGGAGAAACTACACCCAACTCGCTGCATTGCTCACGCGGCAAACATCTGAGCCCTTCATCAAGGCAGATATTTATGTCCCCAACTCCCTCTGCTTCTGGAAACTCGAACCTATTGCTGTCATCTTGCTATGCGCATAGGTATTTTACAGACCTTCGACAACCACTTCAGTCTCTTCTCGGATGTCTGATTGAGCAGCTTGGGGGGGAGGGATGATTCAGAACTGCCAGATTCTAAGAACTCAGCACTTAAAGGATGGGGCTGGTGTTTCGAAAGACCCCTCCCAGCTGAGAGAGACAGACTACTCACCCCGGTCTTCTCCCATGGCTTCATCCTCAATTAATGGGGAGGCATTGCCTGTTATCGCCTAACTTTCCACGGCCATGACTTTTCCTTCCGGTTTTCATCTCAATCCATAGCTGCAGGTGCTTTTTTAAAAAATTAGCACAACTGGCTGGAAGTTAATTTGGACACTGAAGGCTGATGGCTATTACCTAGCAGTCACACTCCACCTGCTTAGATTGCAGAGGCTGAAGAGTTTGAACATAGTCAGTGGAGCAGATAGAAGCTGGGGCAGTGGGAGGGTTTTTCCTTGCCAGCCGGTTGCAAAGACCCATAGCAGTCCATGAGGACAGGCAAGTAATCTTTTTGCAGTACTGAGATTCCTTAAAGGGAACATCCAAGCAGTGAGGGCCAGTTTGGTGTAGTGATTAGGAGCCTGGACTCTAATCTGGGAGAACCAGGTTTGATTCCCCACTTCTCCACATGCAGCCAGCTGGGTGACCTTGGGCCAGTCACAGTTCTCTCAAAGCTATTCTCTCAAGAGCAGTTCTCTCAAGAGCTCTCTCACCCCACCTACCTCACAGGGTGCCTGTTGTGGGGAGAGGAGGGGAAGGAGATTGTAAGCCGCTCTGAGACTCCGAGTGAAGGGTGGGGTATAAATTCAATCTCTTCCTCCCCTTCCTCCATTTCCACCTTGAGTCTCAGCAAGAAAGGCAGATTGCAAGTGAGGCAAACAAATAATTCCCAATGCAGAATTACCTTGGAACACTGCTAAAGCACACCACACCGTCGTAGCCGCCCACCACGTAGATGGAGCCATTCAGGGAAGCCACTCCGCCACTACTCCGATGCCTCGAGATGGATCCAAGCACTTTCCATTCGTGGTCCAGGGGATTGTAACACTCCACACCACTGACGTTGCTGCCATGGCTCAGCCCCCCAACTGCAAAACAGGAGGGGGGGGAGAGACCAGATCAATGAAATCCAACAACAGTCAGAACATTCCTTCTCACAAAGGCAGGAGGAAGGGGTGGTGGGTATAGACAATTAGGGCAGAATGAGAAACGGTTGAGTGCAGCCTTGGCGTGTAGCATGGATGGTTTCGAGCACTGGAGCAAGAACCCAAATTTTGGAACCCAAGTCTTGACAAGTTACACAAACATTTATACGGAGCTTTGCATTTTCCAGGTTCAGCTGCTTGTACTTGACCTGCTCCCCACAACCGTTTCTGTGATCTGCAATTCCCAACTGAATCTGGCTGAGAGGGGGGGAAAGATTTGCAAGACGTTTCTCTGGCTAGCAGAACCAGGCTGTTTATGCTTACATTTTTATCCTGCCTGTCCTCTAACCCCCTTCATTTTTATTATCATAGCCCTGTGACATCAGTTAGGCAGAGAAAGAATGACTGGCCCAGGCCCAGAGTCTGCCAGCGGGGTTTCAGGATGTAATGAGGATCTGAACCTGGACCTCTCAAGATGCTGTCCATCACTCTAACCGTCCATCACTCCACACTAGCTGGCCCATTGGCCCACTCTTTTAGGATCTCGGCACGCAGGGCCAATATGTTTGCATCTCGCACAACCTGCTTTTGTGCTTTCCCTCCTGTTCAACTGATATATATATATTTAGAAAAAGCATTTTTATAGCCACAGATTACAACAGGGTGGATATTACTCCTACCCTACCACTCCACTGAGCAAATTTTATTTATTCATATATTCAAATATTTATTTATTTATTTATTTCTATTTATATCCCGCCTTGCCTGCTCAAGGCGGCGTAGAACAGTTTAAAATACAATAAATACAATCATAAAATAAATACAATCTTCGTGGCAGGAAATAAATACAATCTTCGTGGCAGGAAATAAATACAATCTTCGTGGCAGGAAGACCTTTCCTCTCGGCTCAAGTTTGACGCCTTCTAACCAGAACTTAACAAGCCTTCCCCCAAATCAAGCAGCTCTTCCTTTGGAAGAAGAGCCACTTACGTTGGAGGAGGACTCCTTAGGACTCCTTAGGTTAGAGAAAGGCTACTTGGAGAATGGGTGGATCCAGCCCAATATAACTTTCCATACGGTTTTTCTCACCTTGCAACCATTTCCACAGTAGTGAAATTCCCTGCATTGACGTTTTTAAAATTGCACGTTATATGAAATTTCACGCAGTAGATTTTTTCTCACCAGGAGCAAACCCGAAGTTTTCTTTTTCTTACTACGTGTTTTTGGAACTTGCTAAAACCAGGGATTCCAAAAACACTGGGTTAGGAGAAAACTGCAGGTTTGTACCTGGTGAGGAAAAATTTACCACGGAAAATTTCACATAATGCGCAGTTTTTAAAACGTCAATGCAGGGAATTTCACTGCTGCGGAAATGTTTTAGCAAGTTCCGAAAATGTGGGGTAAGAAGGAGAAAACTTTGAGTTTGTGCCTGGGGAGAAAAAATTTACTGCAGAAAATTTCATATAATGTGCAGTTTTAAAAACATCCATGCAGGGAATTTCACTCCCATGGAAATGTTCACCAAGAGAAGCAGCATTCTAAGCTGAGCTACAACAGTCTCCCCAACTTTTCTCTTTCTGCGTGCAGGAAAACTTGGCCACTCTCACATGCTGTCTGAAGTGTTATAGTTCAGAGACAGCTTTACCACTTTAGTGAGGCCCAGAGAGGGTTGTCAGTCTCCAGGTGGTAAACAATGAAGAAGAAGAAGAAGAGAAGAGATTGGATTTATACCCTGCCCTTCACTACCCAAAGGTGTCTCAGAGTGGCTTACAAACTCCTTTCCCTTCCCCTCCCCACAACAGACACCCTGTGAGGTAGGTGGGGTTGAGACAGCTCTGACAAAAACTGCTCTTTTTCAAGAACAGCTCTTATCAAAGCTATGGCTTGCCCAAGGTCATCCAGCCAGGTGCACGTGGAGGAGTAGGGAATCAAACCCGGTTCTCCCAGATTAGAGTCCGCGCACTTAACCACTACACCAAACTGAAGAAAACAGCAGTGATATATAATGAATATATATATTTAGACTGCTGTTTTGCAGTGAGTAGTATTTCATCAACAAGATGAAAGTCAAGATGCACGCATCCACCCTAACGGAATTTTTATATACTCCCGTTTCACATGACCGCTTTATCTAAGTGTGCTGCGTGAATAACATTAGTTTACATGTCAACAATTGTAATCCGTGAACTTGACACAAAACATTCTTCCCTCTTCAATGAGCACGTATTCAACGAGCACGTATATTGAGAAATGGTATTTAGCAGAGATAATATAGCCCAGCAGAGCCTAACTACTTGTTGATGAAATACTACTCACTGCAACACAGCAATCTAAATATATATTTTCATTATACATCATGACTGTTTTCTTCATTGTTTGCATCCTACCCATGATCTCTCTGTTGTTTCTACAATCTCCAGGTGGTAGCCAGAGATCATCCAGAATCACAACTGGTCTCCAGGTTTCAGAGATCAGTTTCCCTGGAGGAAATGGCTGCTTTGGAAGGTGAACTCTATGGCATTGCACCCCACTGAGGTCCCTCCCCAAACCCCATCCTCCTCAGGTGCCACACCCCAAATCTCCAGATATTTCCCAACTCAGACCTGACAGCCCTAGCCTAGATCAAACTTACCTGCCAGAGTGGGGAGCCAAAACCAATGGTTTGCCTGTGGGAGGCAGAAGGGTGGCAGGAAAGGAACTGTGTTGCAAAGCCAGCATAGCAAAGGTAAGGCTCTTCTATGCTTGAAACCTCCCTGAATGTGGAAAGCTAGCACCTCAAGGAGAAGGACAGGCCTTTTCCACAATAAGCTAGTTTTATATATGCAGGGAATTTTTACACTGAGGAATCATTCAGTCATAAGTCCCCACCTGCAATCTGAAGCAGTACAACCCAGTTACAGATTTTCTGCCTACCTAAGATCTGAGTAATGAATGCATGGTTAATGCCTGCAACTGTGCAACATACTGGAGAGGCTGCTTGCTGCACCAATATTTTGGGGCAGTGCCAAAAAACAGCATGCAAATTGAGAAGCATAGCTTAGAGGCCTGTGTAACATTACAAGGGAGAAGAAAATTAAGGCACTGGTTCCAAAATCCATTTAGTTCAGTATCCCATATACAACAGTGACAAGCAGATGCTTCTGAGAAGCCACCAAGCAGGTAATGTGCCTCCCCTATGATTTGTCCTCTGCTTTTGGTATTCTGAGGTATATTGCTATGGAACATGGAGGTTCTATTTTGCCATCATATTGTCACTGCCCCCATCTTCTTGGACTGGGCAGTTCTGCATCTCTTAGCAGGACAAATACAAAGGCAAATGTCTCCCCAAAATCACTTAGGGCTATGAGCTGATTAAGAGGCAACGGTGAAGAGTCATGGACTTGTGTGAACTCACTGAATGCTGAACACGAATTGTTTCCTGTTGTAAACCACCCACAAATTGATACTTTTGCCTCCTGGGTCACTGGTTTACTGTTTGGCTTTTGCAAGAAACAGAGAAACTCTGCTGAGAATATATTATCAGCTCTGCCTGCCTGTCTCCCTTTTTAAAAAAGAGGTAATAGATTTCCTCATTAAAAGCTCTATTTCCAGAGACAGGTGTGAACTTTTCCCTGATGGGTGACTGCCTGCCAACCAGAAGGGCACCATCTTTCCCAGCAATGAGGGTTTTTCTCTCCCCAGAACATGTCATTAGGAGGAGCCCTGCTTAGCCTTAAGGAGAGAAGTCACCCATTAAATCCGGGTAGGGAAGGGATCCTCGGATTCATTCTGCAGTCTGATTGACAGAAGGCACAGTTTTCTCCCCATCTATTATTGTGGATCATACACTACAGCACATCTGATACTTTTCTGCATTCCTGATGCTGTCCCAAACAGCATTTAACTTTAGCTAAGTAGAACTGCCATATATCTTTAAGAGAAGTGTCCTCTGGGAATTGAAGTCTTTAGTTAGACATCCAATAGCATTCCTGTAACTGGCTGATCACAGTCATTTCCGGCTCCGAGAGACGCGGGGAATTCGAGCTTTACAGTCTCCTTCCATTCCTTTGTCTACACTTGAAACTGCAAGGAAGGCGGAGCACACTATCTTTTTTCACCATGAGCCAGAGAAAATAAGTAGATCACCAAAGATGTAAGTAAGAACCCTCCTGAATGCATGTGAAAACTGAATAAAATGATTTAATGCTTCATGAATCTGGCTTCTGCGTTGAATCACGTCCAGAAGGCGCTCCTTAACAAAGCGTCAGACGGAATACTGCTAGTTTTTGTGATCCAAGCCCTAGTGCATTGTTCGTTGAATGTCTCATGCCTCTTGGATGTATTGTTTTACACCTCGTAATCCACCTTGAGACTCAGCAAGAAGGGCCAGCTACAAGTAAATAAAACAAACAGTGATCATTTCATTAACAGGCCATGATTTTTTAAATTGACAATGCAATCCTATGCAGAGTGTATCCATTCAAGTTCACTGTATCCATTCCACCAGACAATATCCATTCACATCAATGGGGCTTCGATCGGATTAAGTAAATCTGCATAAGATTGCACTGTAAAATCTGAAAGAGTTCCAATTGCCCTGATTGGCCCCATTTACCAGGGACGACCCTTGATTTCTGATCCCCAATCCTTCTAAGACACATCCTCTTTTTGTTCCCAGATTTGCCTTTCAGTGATGTCTTGTTTATGTCCTTTGATGGATCCTTCTGGATTTACCTCCAACAGGTTATTAAACCTCCAAGTAGGGATTGGATTTGTCTCCTCTCCAACCCACAGGTAGGTAAATACACAAGTGTACAAACACCAAGGGTCAAACTAAATGCTGGTATTGTAATTATAATAACTATCGTATGGCACTGAGTGTAGTATATCCAGGAGAGTTTATGATCGTCTGGCAGCCTGAAGTTCTAGCTCTTTTAGCATTATGCACCACTCGGTGGCAAGCT